GAATTAGAAAAAATAAGATTTCAATATTTCTTTCTATTGCACGTAGGCGATCTTGTTAGTTTTTGTATTTTCTTTTTCAATTTCTCATAAATAAAATTGGGGATGAAGATCTTCTTCATCAACTTAAATCTAATTTAATTGTGAGCAAAAAACTTCACCCTACCAGTATTTTTAGTTTTATTTTTTTTTACTATAATTTTGGTAGAAATTAAATGCATTTGGATTAACTTATGTTTATAAATAATCAAAAGTTCTAAATTTTATCTTAGTATTTTTAGTCGGATCATTGCTTAAAAATAAAGTTATTTTTACTATGCAACAACTATTTTCAAGTTAAATTTTTTAGCCTCTTTTTTATTCTCTTTTAAAATTCATTTATTATGAATATTATATAAATTTCATAATAAACAGGAACTTAAAAAAATATGAAATGAAGATAATGATAGTTAGCATAGTTTATTCTTTTTTTCCATTCCATGATAACTTAGTTTGAAGTATTTTTAAAAAATCAAGCTACTCAGTAAGAACTTACAAAATTTGGGTCTTAATATAACACAATTAGTAAAATCTAGGTCCCCTAAGATTATTATTATTATTATTATTATTATTTTCCTGGAAACGAACTCACTTAGGAAACCTCAGTAGCATTTACTTTGTCAACTTATTAGCAGAGTGAAAATATTTAGTCCTCTCATTTTGTATTCATAATTATTAGATAAACTTATTCCAGTTCGTTCACAACAGATATTACTGGGAAAGTTGTAAAATTGCAGAATGAATGTGAGAACTAATACTGGCCCGAAAACAAAGAAATTAGCCTTTTAATTCTATTCTAGAACTTGTAAGGATGAAAGAGATTTCAAATTCAAGTATATAATGCATTTTCCTCAAAAGAAGGAATTTGTTATACCTTTCCAGTGATGCAGTCATTCGGAAGATAGAGAAAGCAAGTGGTACTTCAATGTCCGAACCTGTGGCTTTGAGGTGAGTTCCAAGTGATATTTGCTTGCCCGATGAATTTATAAAGTGGACATGATTTTATGTGACTTCCATTGCTTGTGTATTTGGTGGTCAAGATACATGTATGTATTGTCTGAATTTAGATGGAGAAACTCAACATGTATGTATACCTGTATGTTATTACATATTTCACATTGTGGATTATTTATTTTCTGAATCTATTGCAGAGCCACTGTATCAGTGATTACATTTACGGGGTACTTCCAAGAATATTGTTTGAGAATAAACTACAAAAACGAAGCTACATGGACATTGGAGCACGAGTTTAATCTTCTGACGGTTGTTGCAGATCATACTGCAAGTTAGATAATGTTGAATTGTATAGGACGTTGACTGTTGATCTCAAGCTAGGTTCGTTAACTCAGATGTGTGTGCGTCTGTGTATATATCATTTACTGAAAAGATGATACTCGACTCACCACTTAGTGGCCTGTGATCTCTGGTTATGAAATAATAGGGCAGTCCATGGCTTGATTATATTTGACATGTGCTGACAACTGTTCTCAATTTCTAACCAGTTCCCACTTTTGCTTCTAGCGCGCATATGAAATAATTAGCATATGTAGTATTTTTTTTTTT